CGATCAAGATCAAGTACAATAGTATGGTAATGGAAAGAAAAATAATAATATGGCAGTGGATGAATGGACGTAGCGTGTAAGAAAAATACAATCCGTACAGACTTTTTATATATTTTCGTTCATAAACTTAGCCAAACCAAATAGGTCGGCAAAAAAACATATATTAAGAGCCAGAAATAAAATACTTTTGTAGATTAATATATCTTTCATTATACGGCAACGATCCATCCAATCCATCACTCAGTTTACATGTGAATTTTGACAGTATTAAGTTATTAATTAAAGTTAGATAGCTGATTTTATATACTTAAAAAAAAAGGATTCACATAACAAAAACATTTATTGTATCTCGAAGACACGAAGTCTCTTTCTCGCGAACAGTTCTTATGATGGGCCAATCTTGTTTCCTACAGGCCCATTTTCAGAAAGGATACTAGTTTGGATCGTAAACGACGTAATTTCTAAATTGAAAGAAGCAAATTTTTATTTTCTTCTTCAATGTCATGTTAGATGAACTCTTGTTAAAACAAAGACAACACATAACAATACCATATTGTAAACTGTCATACAAGATTTTAACACTCAACAAAGAGATTAAAGTCTCTGTCTTTCATCAACATCTTATTGAAACAATCCAAGAAAAAGGGCAAATTGTGAAATCCCTCAAGATCTTTATCCGCCACATCGAAACAATCTGCATCAAAGTAATTTCGTTTAGTTTACATTCTTTTACTCCAAAACTCAAAAGAATCAAAACCAAAAGGTCGCATAGAAGATGCAATACAAATGACACTGATTACGCAAAAATGTGAAGATGCAATTAATGGCTTCAAAGAAACACATACACTGTAAAAAGCTACTCTTATACACAAACAGAAAAACCAAACTCTCTCTTGATCAAGAGTAATTAGCAATGCTAATAACTGATACTAAAGCTGTTAACTTTAAAGATTTTCATAAACAGAATCACTGAAAGATGGTACTGAAATTTGGACAAAACATGAAAAATCGATTTAATCCCAATACTTAAGTTCAGGAATCTAAAAACCATAATCATTTCTACATCTCAAAACTATTTGTACTGGTCTGTAAGTGTTTATTCAGCTTTGCTTATACATGCTCCAAGGAATCAATCCATCTCTCAAAATCATGAGCAAATTAGCAATTGCCAATAACTAACATGACATAAAAAGCTGTGAACTTTCAAGCTTTTGTTTTCACTAAGAGAATCACTGAAAGACAAAAGGTACTGAAATTTGACAAAAACATGTTCAACGTTCCAAAAGCCTAAACCATTTTCCATGTAAAAATCCTAAAATGATATGCACAAAACTTAACCTGAATTTGAAACATAACATTTCCAAAGATTTGATTTCCCCAAAATCGAAATTTCCTTGTTACAAAATCTAACAATATCCAAAATTCGTAAAACTAGACCTCTAAAGTAAACACGAGAATCAACAATTCCACAGAGAAGAAAACTTCCAGATCTTCCAATGAAACTAGTGATTTGATTCGAGAAGAAGATCGGATAAAATTAACCTTATCGCACGTCTCAGTGAGACGTAGCCGGTTGTTTCTGGTGAGACGATTCAGAAGGAACCATGAGTTTGCTATAGATCTGTTCACCGATAAGGTAAACGCAGAAAGCACCAACACCGATTCCGAAACCTGGAAGTGCGTGTCTCATTTGATTCGAAAGCATCGGATGCTTCCTCCACTCATCTCTTCGCCGGAAAAATTCTCCGGTAGTACCCAACGGTTTCGCCAT